TTCACCCTTTCACAGTAAGAGAATATCCTCTGTACTCCACCTTGTTTTTTAATACTAGAGACTCTGCTATCCACTTCCATTCTACAGTCCATTTCTTTCCAGTGAACTCTGCTGTGAAGTCCTTGTCTTCAGTTTTGAAAAGAGTTCAAAACTTGGGCAGCTGCAGCATAGTGCCTCTCTCAAAACTTCATCTCACCATTTTTTTACAGTTACACCTACCATCTTATTGATCACATCTATTCTGACAACAATGTCAATCCTGTCGATGATGCGATAAACAATAATTGCCTCCATTTTTATCTTCATCCCACCTACTTTTATCTCCACCTGCTGGGTTCCTTTACATTTTACCTCTGTTCCATCAACTGCTTTCACAGGGCCACTCCAACTCCATCTGCTCACAAGATTATGATAAAATAAAGTGGTTGTGTAGTTTGGTATCAACAAAAGCTGCCACTATCACATTACCATTGACATTTCTATAATTGGTAGAGGTCAGTACTGCACCTTTATTCTGTTGACGAGGTAGCTACTGACACAGAAGTTCCCCTTGTTTGTTATGCTGAGCCTGAGGGCAATACCTTGCAATATGCCCCCAAATCTCTCACAATTGTAGCACATTACTTTTATTCTGAGTGGCTCCTTACAGTCTCTAATTAGGTGCAATCCCCAACATCTATAGCACCTAATGCTCAATGATTCCATATGACCATTGTTTTCTTTTGGTCCTGCGCTTTGTGCAATCACTGCCACTGTTCTGGACGTCTTTTGCTGACTAAAAGCCTTGTGACTGGTATCATTTTGCATATGTTCATCTTTTCTACACCAGGCACTTGTTGCAGTACCACAGATATGCCGTCTGGGAAAACCGTCACGAAAACTAGTTTCGCTGTCCAGTCCTCTCTCTAGATATCCTGCCAACCTTTTTGATATTATTAGTGTAGATGTCCACTAATTCCCCAATCCATTGGGCCCTCTTGGGTTTTTCATAAGCTTCAAAGGGCCTTTCAGTGAACACTTTCTTCAGGCTGGTCTATCATGTCCTCATCCAACATGTCTTCGTCACTCATTGCACGCTCATCTCGTTGCAGAAAATGTGAAAGGAATCTAGCAAGGTCTAAAATTTTTTGAAGCTTAGCAACCAATTTCACCTTCTTTATCTATGCAACTATATCACCTTCTCTGTTAAATGGTGGTATCACATCTCTACCCAGTCTCACTATTCCAGACTCCATATTGCCGAAATAGCATGTGGCTCAGAAAAAAAAAAAAAAAAAAAAAAAAAAAAAGAGCTTCTCCCAGGATCTCTCTCATTAAATCTCCTTCCTCTCTTGAAACCTTTCTCATAGTAAACAAACAAAATAAAATCACTGATTCCTATTTCTGGTCAAACTTTATAGTTTTTCTTCTTTCCACATCTTTCTATAATAGAAATCATTACTTGATAGTGCCATTTCTTCTTCTCCCCACCACAGCAACATTCCATTTTCTCCTCTTTCATTCACACTACATACAAGTTGCAAAATCCTTACATTTGTCTTGATAAAGTCCATCAGATGACAAAATTTGTTGGGGGAAAAAAAACCAAAAAAAACAAACCTTTCCTTTTGTATTTATTCATACATAAACACACATTCATGGATAACTGTGCTTGTATGTGTGCATTAAAACATTTTTATGATTTAAACAAGCATAAAATATTTTTTATAAATATGGATCTATACAACAATCTTCTATTCAATACATTTGTATTCAATTTTCTCAGCCTGTTGAATTTTGTAAAAACATACTAGACACTATTTAGTGGATCTCTGACAACTCATAAAAGAATAACTCATTATTGTGAAACAAATTGTCTCATTTGCATCACTGGATTGAAGACTTGCTTAGAAAAGGTCTCTTGTCAGTTGTAGTAAAAAGGTTAATGAGACAGTCTTAGCTTCAGTTGATTTGGTAAAGGAGAACTTATTTTCATTTAAAAAAAAAATTAGCTAAATGCTTCTCACCATATAAAGTACATTCAAGAGTAACTAATTGCATACATCAAGGTCAAACTAAAGATCTGAAAGATGTTTCTGGTTAGTCATTAATTGATATTGATTATATCTTCTGGATTTTTAGCAGATCAATTGTTATTATTTTGGTGCTTAACACTGAACCTGTTACCCCCATATGGTTGCACCTAAACTGTTAATCCCATACAGCTGTGCCAACCATGTTACCCACCTTATACGGCCATGCCAGCCACATTACCATTCCCCAATACAGTGAGACCAAACACAGTAATGCGATATGGCCGCATCAAACATATGATACAATCATATCAACAATTATTATGCTATAATATAGTCATATATAAAACTATTTCTTACAAAATATTGCTTGAAAATTAATCTTCATTATTCAAAGAGAAAATAGCAAAAACCTTTTCTGTTCACAAAAATGAAAAATTTGAAATATTCAAAACTTAAAGCTACTGAATTAAGAATTAATATAAACTGAATAAATGATATGAAAATATAAAATTTATAACAATTTGAAATTAATTTAAAGATGTTAACATTTTGGTGGAAAACTTATCTAAGAATAAATTATAAATTTAATTATTTATTTCATAATGCGATTTAATGTTAATGAAAGATTATAGTGACAAGGGAAATATCATCTTGGGAGTCTGTTCCATAGGGCAGAGGTTCGCAGAAAAAAGCTGTTTGATTGAAACTTAATTCTCGCTGATTGAATATGGAGGGAATTTGGATGGTTTGCTACAATGGAAGTGACATGACAGGTCCTAGACATGAAGGTTAGACCTGGCAGAACCAATCAATATAGTTCATCCCAGCACTTTCCATAGGAGTAGTGATAAAGTAGTGAGAGACTGATCACATCCCAGCTGTGAAAGAGAGGTTGGAGGATGGAAAATAATTCTTCTCCAACAAGAACTCTGAGACACATTTGAACTTATTTCTCACTGATTGAATACGGAGGGAATGTGAATGGTTTGCTACAATGGAAGTGACATGACAGGTCCTAGACATGAAGGTTAGACCTGGCAGAACCAATCAATATAGTTCATCCCATGAAAGTGACATGGCAGGTCATAGACACCGAGACACTTGAACTTTACTAAGGCTGGAAAATGAGGACAGGGCAGCTCCCACCCCAAATATAATAACAGTACTCCGTTTTCACCATGATCTGACTTTTTTTATAAAGGTAGAGGATAGCATGAGGAGTCAGGTATTTATTGGGGCAATACAGGGAGCCTATCATTTTACCTGTATTTTATATTAGAAATATATTATAATAACATAATTGTATACTTTTTAACACTTCTTTTCATAACTATATAATTATATGCCAATTTGTATAGACTCTTTGTATAATACCATTGTAATGTATAAAATATATTTTGTATAAAGCTTGCTTTTTAAACTTAAGAGCATTTTAAAGAGTTTCTGTATAAATCTTAGGAATAAAAATGACCAGTTTCTTGTTTCATAGCACACCTGTCTGTGAGGGTAGCTAGCCAATCCCTGTTGTAGTTTCCTTCTCAGGCATATTTGTGTTTATTCAATACTTGCAAAGCTCAGCTGTGGTTTATACTGCAACTATGATAAACAAATTTTAATTATGGTTTCTAGGAGAGAGTACATCATTTGGCATGATCAACAGTCTGAACAAGGTCATTATACTCAAACCCCCAGCCACGATGACTTGTGACTTTCTGCTAGCACAATCATTGATGGTTTCCAAGCTATTCTGCCTACCCAATTTCACTCACATGGCTTGGGTCAATCAGTGGTATGGTTTTCAGGCATTTTCCAAATGTGTTGCATTCTGGAATCACCTATCCAAGGTAATAACATCAAGAAGTCACCTTCCTAACAAATCAACTATGGTGAGATTTGAACCCAGGTCATATGGTTGGAAATGAACATTCTAATCACATGGCTATGTGACCATCAGAATAGGAACAATATACAAGATAAAAAGTCAGATATTGAAGTGCAAATAAAATCTTTCTATTAGATTGTTACAATGAAATGACATTTTTTGGTTGATTATTGGTTATTTCAACAAAATAAATTAGTTATTTAACATTTCAGAAGCTTTTTATTCATTTCCTATAAAGTGCATCATTTCATGTGTGGCAACCTAATAGTAATGCTATCGTATTATATCTATTATATTTCTTTAAACATTTTTATAAGCAGTGATTCACATTCAATGGAAATTTTTTTATCTCATTAAATCCATTTCCAATAAATAACAACAATATGACATAAATGAAGATTCTATTTATACAACATGTCCAAATGTAGAAGCTTTATGCAATAGATGTTACCATGTCTTAGTGCAATATACACTTTTTCATTGTCTTTCATTCTATGTCTATATCATTGTATAAACCATGATCATTTTACTTTCTCTTTGATATCTAAACTTCATTGCCACAATTGTTCTTGGGAAAGAGAATAGTTGTATCCTCATTTGCTTTCTCCAGCTTTGAATTGAGAACTGTCCATTTCATAGGTTGATTGCCAAGCAACATTAGAGAATTCCCATCTGCCCTACTATTTTTCAAAGAGCTCTACCCATTGTTTGAAATTTTCTTAATCTGGATGCTAATCAAGGTTAGAAAGCCCAATCTATCTTGATATTTAACCCATAGATAGAGGAAAGAAGAGATGGTTTCCTACTTTTTCCAAGAGGATTAGTTCAAAATAAACACAAACTGTCACAGCCAGTATTTGAACTCAGTTGTCAACTGCATTTTTTTAGACCAACTGAACCTCTATCTCAACATGTTTAATAAAATTCCCAATCTTGAAGCCAAAAGAATCAAAGTCATTATTTGATGAAAAAAACAAAACAAAAAAAAAAAAAAAAAAAAAAAACACAAAACTAGATGCACATAATTTCTTCACAAAAATGAAAGAATCACTTCATTGTTTTTTTTTTACATTTTCCTGTGAGTAATAAAGAGAATCACTGACCATAACATGTTTGCTGTTAAGGGTGATGTTTGGTATCATTGGTTCCATGGAGTGCAGAAATTCCATTCCACGAGCAATGTCCAGTGCAAATCTCAATGCTTGATTTTGGTCAACAACAATCTCTGTAATAAAGACAATAAAAAATATAGATAATTTTAAAAAAAAAATACCATCATGCTATTTATTCTGTATATATGTAATTGATTTCAGTCAAAACTGATAAAAGAAGTAACAGCTTTTTTCTGCAATTACCAAGACAGATAAAGCAGTTATAGAATGTTTTTTTTGTTGTAGGTGTTCACTCACTTATTCTTCTTACTCAACTAAGACAGCATACCAAGGAGATTGTGAAAAGTAGTTTTATGCCTTTCTTGATGTATTAGTATGAAACAAGTAGATAATAAGAAAACATTGAAATAGTTATGTTAAAACAAACTAAAAATCTCTCGTATACTATTAATATATGTATTACCATCTACCAATAATTACTAACTTTACTTTATACATCTGCAGCTCAATGGTGAAAAAGTTTTTACACAAAAAATATTTTTCAACATAATATCCTTCCTTGTCAATGCACTTAATTCAGTGATCAGGATTAAAAATTATGTCAGAACAAAATTCAGCTAATAACTAGATGTCAATCTACAGATTTATTGATCCATTTGAAGTGTGGAGGACCTGGTTAAGTCTGAAATTATGACTTGTATACCTCAAGTTCAAACACCAACTTCTAGTAGTAGCAGAATAGGTCAAGCCACTTTTTTTTTCTTTTTTTTTTTAAATATGTAATAAGGAAAGAATTAACTACACCGGTGAACTTGTTTACTAAAGGAGCTGGAAGAGAGAAAAAGAAAAAAAAAAGAAAGAAAAAAGACACATACAGAGAAAGTAAAAAAATAAATAAAAAAGTACCAGTTTCTCCATGAAGTACATTGTACAATGATCCGTGTGTCATAAACTGGCTAATGATGAATAGATCAGGGGGTTTATTACAGCAGGCTAAGACAGGAAGGATGTTTGAATGATTGAAAATTCTGAAAAGATAAAATGAAACACAATAAGAAAAAAATAAAGAATAAATAAAATGCCTAAATAAATAAATAGATTTATAATATTCAACCTTAGGTTAAGAAAAATATTTTTTTAAAGATTTAGGTTTAATTAGAATTTATTCATTAAGTTCATCATCACCATCATCAATCTTCCTTCAATGATTTACAAGCTGCATAAATATTGTTTATAAAATTCTTGGTTTGCAGAGAAAGAATATAAAAGTAAACATTGTACACATATCATTTGTAATCAATATACATATATTATATCCTGTTTTTTTTAAATACAAAGAGAAAATTAATTAAAAATCTTTATAAGTGATAACTTTAATGTTCTTGATAATAACTAGTGATGGTTGAAAATACTCCAAGAAAAACATTAGGAATGTTGGACAATTACTTTATGAATTTAATGTGGACATCTGACTGTTTTGACAAAAGTTGGAAAACCGTAAGAATCAATTGGGCAGGCTTTGTTGACCAATTTCAATAAAATGTACAAATATATATTGTGTTTGTGATCTAAATATGCAAAATAAATTCATTCAAATTTTGTAATGATATTTGAAAGGCTAAGAATTTTACTTTTAGGTTTTTCTTTTTAATATCTACTCAGTTGCTTAAAAAATTATATAATTTTAATTGCAATAATAATCATTTTCTATCTGAAGATGATCAATTACATTAGAGTTTTTGTCTTGATCCACTTTTCAAAATCTGACCAAATGACCAAACATTAAATTTATTAATATATTTGTTTTAATCTTTTCTTGCTTGGGAATTTTTCAGCACCTTTTTATCATACTTTATATGATTTCTAACAGAATATTGTAAAACACGCACACAATTAAGCAATGCTGCCATTTTGCAAGTTTTTTTTTTTAGATAAAAATAGTTACAAGATTAATTTTGAGGGATATCCAAATACAGTGGAAATTTAGCTTAAAAAATGCATTATATAATAAAAAATGCATTATATAATAAAAAATGCATTATATAATAAAGTACTTGTAAGAAAAATAATTGCCTGTATCATAATTAGCCAAAATAGAACCTCTGTCCTATTTATAACAGTATATATGATCGATTCATTGTATTTAAGTTAAACTATTTAAGAGGAAAAAAAAAGATAAGCTCTTAAATTTCATGTTTTAGGAAAAGTGATATCTTTGCAAAATTTCATTTGAATAAACATTTAAGTTTTAATTAGTCAGCAACTGAGGCATAATTTTTTGAGTGCAGATCCATGGTCTCTGAGGACTGACAGATGCCACATACAAAGTCTGAACAAGTACAAAGATAAAATCTATCAATTTATATTCTGATTAATAGTCACTAATAATTAATGAGATATACTAATCATAAATAGACTACTTAAAAATAGAATGTTTTTTTTTTGATAACATCACTTTAATATGACCTGTAGTTTGAGAAAATATTAACTTAATGAGATGATTAATTGAAATACTAATTATATTGAGATTTGTCATCAATTTCATTACCAGTAAATATATTTTATTCATAGAGATAAGAGTGTATGCATATATGTATACATATATATGAGTAGAGTTGGCTGAGCCTGATTGGCAGCTAGGTCTCAACATTTTGTAGTTGAAATGGTTAATTGTAATCCTAATTTCTATGCTAACAGTTTCTTCTTTTGCACTTCCCACTTGTGGAACACTTCCAGATTCTTGCTTTCCAGTTGATTTTGATCTTTAAAAATGTAAATGCAATGTCCATCATTTTGATCTTTAAAAATGTAAATGCAATGTCCATCATTATCTTCTATCATCTTAATTCCAGTTCTTTTATTGTGCTCTCCTTAATGTTTTTTCATTTTTCTTATATTCTGTCACACTCAGTAACACCTTACATCTTAGTGGCTTTATTGCCTTGCTTGGGGTTAAATGATTAAAAATAAATGTAAATATATAAGACAATTTGGAAAGCTACTTTTGACATGTTTCACCAATGAACTAGCATCATCAGAAAAATAATTTTATTTCCTACAAACAAAATCTACATAAAAAAAAAATAGAAATAAATAAAAATAAAAACCGAGCTGAAATTAGTTAAAATCTAATTTCTATAAGGATAAATTTTTTTTTTTAAGGATAAAGTTAAATTAAAAGTCAAGTAATCTGATGCTCAGTATGAATCATGTAAATCTACTTATTGTAACTCATAGGCGTATTGAGAAATGCAGATAGTAACTTAGTGCTTATCTCATACCTGGAAAACAGAATCTGCATACTAAATGCATATTTCAACTGAGGTTTTTTGTAATCACTTAGTAGTAAGATAATAGAAAAGGCATGAATCCACCTTTCCCTGCATTCTATGTATATGTACTAAAAGGAGTTGTGATGTAGCTTAATACTTATCAGTATGAAAAAACAAACTGCAAACTGAATTCACATTTTAGGCTTAATTATTTGTAATCATTTAGCATTAATATCAATAGGAAAAGCATGAATCTATCTATCCTGACGATATATATATATATATATATTGTATATATATAATATTTATTTAAAAAAAAAAAAAAAAATCTACATACATGCACATATACTTGTACATACTTGCTATAAATATATTTCTTCCTCAGGTGTTATAAATACAATGCTCAATGTTTAAAAAATGAGCTATAAGTATATATTTAGTGAATATACATAATATCCAACATTGATAGCATGACTCAGAGTTTCATGCAGTTCATATAATTTTCAGGTACATCATGATCATATTTTATTTCCTTGAAGATTGCATGAACTGCATAAAACTCAAATCATCTATTAACAGTAAATATTTATGATATATTCCTATATATATATATATATATATATATATATATATATATATATATATATATAATAAAATAAAATACATTATATAATAATTACATTATTATCAATATCATTGGGAAAGGCATGCATCCATTTCTCCCTGCATTCAGTCAAATCACCAGATGATTTGAAAAAAAATAATCTCATCACTGGAATGTCATGGTTGATGATAAAATTGCAGACAATCTTTCCTAGATTATTCCTATAATAACATTATTTTATAATTGCTTTCTTCTTGATTTTCTATGCAATTACATTATACCTAATAATCTTATTATATCAGCATTGTTTGCCTACCACTAATAATTTCTATTTTCCTGATTTTCAATTTATTTCTAAAGTAAAAATAATTAGCAATGAATCTATATTATATATATAAGAATCCATTTTATCAGTAATGCATTCAATAATTCTTGACCACAGACAATCCCTTCTTGGTCTTCATTAAGGGGATAAAGCAATTTAGTTTTAAATTAATCTGTTTCGTATATGGCATATTCTGACAATATTATTTTTGGAGCAGATAAAATTATTATTTTTAAGAGACAACCAAAAATTGTGTGGTCAAGCATGGCAGTCAAATATGTTGAACTTTAATTAAAAAAAACAAAAAATATGTAATCCACTAAAAACAGTTTCATAGTTTAGTTCATCATGATTTATTGAGTTTGTCTTGAGTTTATCTGGAATTTAATGAGCATAAATGATGGAAAAGTGTTGATAGAGAGCAAATACAAAATTTATCAGTTTATGATAAGTACAGAGAGAGACTAATTTTTGGACAATGTGAATAAGAGTTCAAGTATTCTTTGAATACATGAATTGAAATATCTTTATTGGATAATCCATGTCAGACAATAATAAAGCAAGGTAAATATAAATACTGATTATCTCACCTTAGACGTGGAAATTCCTCTTGGAAGTCACGTGACATTCTCACAGTACATTCCCGAAGTTTGAGCTTCTTGGCTACAATTTCACTACCTTGCCAAATTCCTTTCCATGTCTGTTGAGAAAAAAATGTTTGGTAATATTAAGTGCTACAATTAATCAAATGTTAAAATTAATAATTAACATTATAATCTAAAAATGCTTAATGTTTCATCAGCTTAATTTCTCTATGAAATTACTTTGTTCCAGGAATAAAATAAGTAGTAATTTTTGATAAGTTTAAAATTCCCAGCAACATGACTATTCCAACTGGCACTTGTATTTAGTATAGAAAATTAATTGAATTAATACAAAGAGGTAAAATTTAGATTCATTCATACAGATATCAAGTTTATATTAATTAATCTTTCATCTTTTTGTTTTTCTGTCAAAGTTGTTTTATATTATGCGTATTAGAAAAACAGTAAAGATTAGAAATAAAACAGTAACTTTCCACTAGATTTGAACTGTAGTCATATGACTGAGAACTTGGCTGATTTAAGAAACTAGTCAAAAGTCATTATTTGATTCCTGAAGGCTTCCTGTGGTATATAAGTCTCTATATGCACTCTCAGAAATACATGGTAATTCAAACACATGAAAAAACTAATCCCACATCTATTCCATCTTTTTAAAATTTCTCACTTTATTCTATCAGTACCTTTCTTAGTTAAGCTGCATTTAAATGACTAAAATCTTTGCTATAGTTGAAAGGAAAAACAGATTCATGCCTTTTCCAAAGTGAATAAAATTTGAATTTGTATTTTACAAACTTCATTGAAAACCATAATATAACCCTGCACCTTAGTAGTCAAGATTAATATTAAAAATATGCTTTATTGAAGAAATTCAGATAACCTACTGTTATTATTTGAACACATAGTTAACATGAATAAAAATTTGAGTCAAACTAATTGATATTAAAATTGGATTGTTACTATTAGATTATAGGGTTTGGAAGCCATCATTAATAAACATTTAAGATATACATAAAGACCTTGTACAAGTGAATTACACTGATAAAGTGATTAAAGTAATATTCCAGACATCTGCATTTAATCAAGAAATTAGGGAACATTTTTTTCACTCCTATTTTAATATTAATATATTATCTTTAACAATCAACTGTAACAAATAACATTTAATAAATAAAATATAAAAATAATAGTAGTGATAATATTCACAACCTTTATGTTATAATGACATTTGAAATTCCCTTTGCCTTATTTTAAGATTGTAACTATTTTTTTTATAAATTTTGAAATAAATCTTTGCATAAGAACTGATTGGGCTATTAAACTTTGTTTTTGTTAGATTTTAGTTGGTTCTTTCATTGGATCTTTTCAGGTTTAGTCAGTATATTTGGCAGCATTTCCTTTGTCATCATTTTCAGTTTGTAAGCCATAGAAAAAATATGAACTGTACCTCTAAAGATCTAAATCACAGAATGAACTGTCTAAAATATTATGTGATACTGACAATAAGAATGTGTTCAATACTCTTAAAAAAAACTCTTGAAATTTATCAATAAAATATAAATGCACATAAAATGATTAACAAAATATATTTAAATTTATGGAGATAACATTTACCTGTCCTGAATGAGAAGATGACAATATTACAGACAAATCCAATTGATTAATTTCAACACCTGTATGTCTTGATAAAGTGGCATCACCTACAAGAAAAAACATTTTTCTATGATAAAACTGTGAAAGAAATTAAAAAGAAATTTTTTTAGAAATCTAATTATTAAAAAATTATATGTAAATGAACTTTTAAATGATCTTTACAAGAAAATAACTTTTTTCTTTACCCAGTTATAATATTTATGGCTTTATAAGTTTGTCACACACAGAAATATGTTAATGCAAAAGTCTAATGTTGACAAAAAACTTATTCAAATGAGTTTATAGCATCATTTAGTTATTATTCTAGCTTTTTATGGCTTTATATTCTTCTTTATTCCTCAGGACATAAGCAATCATGGCTCTCCACAATTTCCTGTCATTTGTAGCTCTTAACTTGGTCTTTCTGTTATTTCTCCTAAAACTGTTTTGCCATCCATTTGCTCAAGTTCACTAGATGTTTTCCTTTGTCCCTCTTGCCTTATGTTAAATTTCAAATAAAATGTAAAAAAATAAAAAAAGTTATCTTTAAAAAATTTTCAAACTTTTGAATATTCTAGAAACACTGAATAGATGAAATGCTGCAAGAATTAAAACTATTTGGCTATTTGTTGTATCACATTTTTAACATGAGGATTTTAATTTCATGAACGAGCAAAAATATAAATCGTTTATGTTAAGCACAAAATAAAAGAAAAAATGAATACCGTATATACTTGTGTATCATGGGACTTAATTTTGAAGCTAATTTTAAGTGGGTAGCATCATACATGAGATATAAAATTAGCTTATGCACTGCTGGCAATGGCTATGCCATTGACCAAACTATATATCCATTTACAGTAGTCAAAAAGTATGGTTGTATTTAAAATAAACATGATTTTGATAAAACTGATGTTTTATTTAACTGTATCCAATAATAATGCATGTAATATTCACATATTACTATTGCATTATAAAATACAAACATAGCATATATGCATCTTTTCCATTGTTTATAAGATGTTTAGATGTTTCTTATCCCGTCATTTAATGCGTTTATACAATGAGTATAGCGTTACTAATGATACTTTTATCATTCTCTTTTACTTTTTAACTAGAAGATGGGATAAAGAGATAGAGGAAAAGAGGTTAGTCTATTGTAATTTGGTATCTCAAAAAAAAAAAAAAAAAAAAAAAAACTTGCATGATACACACGATATATGATAAAATAATTTTTATAAGTGAAAATTTGGGGGTGACACGATACGCAAGATCGCATGTTGCATGAGTATATATGGTAAATAATCAAAAAATAAAATAGTCACTTACGACTTCTAGTTTTACAGCCTAACCAACTTCGGTCCTTGTAAGGAATCTTCTTTAAATCTCTTGCTAGTGCAATAGCCCGTTCTGCAACAAATAAAACAAACAAATTGAAATCTTAGCATTAAAGTTTTCTTTTTTTAAAAGTTGAACAAATGATAACTACATATACTGATCTATACAATCCTTTTTTTCTATGATTTTACAAGTGAAAAAGATATACTCCGTCAATTTGATTCAAAGATATACTCCATCAATTCAATCCTTTCAATTACATCTTTTCATAAAAATTCAACTTTAATAAATAAAAATGATTGAGAATTTCATAAAATTATATTCAAACATAATGGCAGTAATCTAGGTGTTATATCCTTTTAGGATGTCAGTGATACGGTTCTCCACAGCTTCCCACAGAAATATTTTATCATTTACTATTCCTTGTCTTCTTTTGTAGTCAACTTTTTCCTCTATTCAATCATATAAACTTGTCAATTAAATTACTTGCCATTTCATGAGTGTAGTTTTTCAAGCTTATTTTCCTTAACATTTCAGAAGTCTCTTTCTGAATGTTAAGTTTTCTTTGTAGTTCCTTTTCTACTTAAAATTTTCTTTAATTTTCTGCTTAAAATTTACTCTTAGTTACATATTCTGTCAATTATATTCTCAATATCCCATTTGTTTTAAGTGTCTTCATTTATGATGAAATTGTCCATCATTTACTGACATAAAAGAGATTAGATACTGCATGACAATAGAAGCAATTGTAAAAGAAGTGTTCAGCTTTTTTGGATAAAACCTTTTCTATAACTTACAAATAAAAAAACAAAGTTAAAGCATCAAAGTTACTCACCTCTCATTTGATCTCTAAGCTTTGGTCTTGCTTTGTCTAAAGGCGTTTCATCAAATTTGTTTGCAATAGTTACTAAGGCACCCATGTTGATAAGTTCCTATTGAAGGGAAGCAGACACAGTGAATAACTGATAACACCAAATGCAGTTGAGTTAGTATTTAGACTAAACATTCTTTTTAATTAAATTTAGTCAGTATCCCATAGAATGAAATGGATTTTTTTACAATATGTACATATAAATGTTATTAAAATTTTCTTTTTTTTTTTAAATTATAAAAGATCTGTATTTTTTGCTAGTATCCATGTGGGCAGATTGCAACATCACATACATTTATAATTTTGAAAGGTTATACTTAATATTTTTTTTAATCAGATGCTTAATAGAGAGAAGTTTAGTTTTGGAAGCATTAAAATTAACAAACCATTCCTTGCCCCCAGTTAACAACAGATGTAGGTCATTTTTTTTAATATCAGCTCTCAATTTGATCTTATCAAATTGATCAAACTTAACACTTAGACATGAGTAAATTGTTGTGTCATCAGCCTAGATACCAAATTGAGAACTGATGTCATTAGGAATGTTATTGATGAAAATGAACAAAATAAATCAAAGGATAAAGCACTGTGAGACACCTACATAGTACAAAATGATCTAGAAGAGTGGTCATTCAAGACAACTTTCATTTTCGCAATTTGATATGAAAGACTAAATCAGTTCAAAAATTTGTCTGGAAATACCATAACCTTTCAACTTGTGAAGAAGACCAGTATGCCAAACCCTGTGAAACATTAGCCTCATTTTCATTCATTTTTAATTGGTGTATTTTCTAATATGTCTATTTATTTAATTCTATTTCTCCTCAAGTATCTCCCTTGAAGATGTATATAATCACCTCCTTTTCCTTTAATATCCAAACTGTGCATTTCCAGAACTGTTTTTGTGAAACATAGTGGAATGGTTTGCCAACCAATTTCCTACTAAAGGCTTTTGAATTCACAATTATATATATATATATATATTAATGTAGATAAATAACTAGATATTAGTGGTCGTGTATCTGAAAAAAGACATGCATACACTGGTAAAAAAAAATATATATTTTACTCAATTTAATATAAACAAGTAAACAAAACAGTGCTCAATTGGTTAGACAGAACTAAGAAGTATATATTAATAAATATACATATTCCTGTCATTCAAATTTAAATTTTGATTTTAAAAAAATACTGGCTCTAATGGGAGGAATGCTAAATTAAATGCAAATTCAAAGCTCAAATTTAATGTAATATTGGGGTGTAAATACAGAATGTCTATTGTAAAAAAAGAAAAAAGAAGCAAGATTAAAGTTTAAAAGAGGAATGCCAGGTAACTCGTTAAGTAATAATAGACGTTAAAATGTTTAAAGTGGGGTAATCAATATGTAACCTAAAACCTGGAAAGTTCATGTGATATTTGAGCAATATATTTATCCAGAATTAAAATATTTTAAGAGAGATTTCTGTGATTACATGCTAACATTAGTTCATTTTGTTTATTAAGTAGATTTTGGTCATTAATATTTTTGAGGATGAATCTTTTTTTCCAGTAAACACAGGTTGCCATCTTCAGAAAAGGGTGTAGTTTTGGTGATGAAATTCCAATTTACTATCAGTGTATAGTCATCTGTTTTAATATCCCAGTAAAATTTTTAGAGTGCTATGGCATTTGCATATCGCTTATTGTTAAGAGTGATTTTATGATGATAAAATCTTGTTTTCCAGTTGTTGGCTGTGGAACCAATATAAAATTTTTTCTTGGGATTATGTTTAATGCTAGCCTTGTAGATGGCACCTTCATACATACATTTATGGTTCATCAGAGAGTTATTATTATAATGTATTAGACAATTGTTTCATTTAGGATACCAAACTAACTTTTTTCACCAGTGTCTCAGAACCATAAAGAAAAATAATATTAATCATCCTGAGAAAGTTTTAAACTGTCCTGAAATGAAATTATTATCTTTTTTTATTTATCTATTTTTTTTTTGAGTGGGAGGATCTTTTAACTTTGTTATCCTTTATAATTGTTAGTGGCCAAATAAAATAATATTTAGGAAATAAATATTTATTATGATCCATTAAATCTTTAAACTCTGGTCTCTGTGACTGGCAACTACAAATCCTCCACTTGGTCATAGATACCCTCTCCCTGAGTCACATTGCAGATAAAGAGGGACATGAGCATTTCAATTTAGTTTATGATAAACAGAAATAATGACACAAACATTGTTTGTTAATGGTTCATTCAGGGTTTTTTTTTAACCAGGAAAAATATAATTTTCTTGTTTTGTTTAAAGCAAAATCAGTTCTTACAATTAGATGCTAATGTTTTTCCATATTTAGAGATAAATAATAGAAATATCTAAATGTAAGTCCTTCAATTTTCATTCAGTTATCATTCACCAATGGAAAAGTTGTATGTATGTGTTCCATTTATTAAAAGCCAGCCACTATTGATGAGAGGCAAGTATTATTATTTTTTCTTAAAGAAAATAGTTACTTTTAGAATAAATATAATGAAATTTTAATTAAGATTTTTCCTGCATGATTCCAAATGAAAGCCTAACCATATATCCCAATCTTATGTTCTATTATTGCTGCGATGACAAACAACATTAACCAAAGCAATTTTTTCCAAACAATACTTACAATTCATTTTAATGTTTCAAACTTGCAATGTGTCTATTAATTTAGGACTTTAGAACTCAGAACATTTCTTACAAAATGGCTGCCATCATTAAGCAAATAAATCCTTAAATTTCAATAAGTATTTATTTTATATATATCAATAAAATATGATGTGGCTAATAATATGAGATGCGCAACATATTCCAATGATAAAGAAAATTAAATGATCAGGATTGCATTTTAGCATTAATACTGAAAAAGAAGAAAGGAATTTTGAGTGGTCAGGAATTAAAGCAAGTAAGAATAGAGTTATATGTAAGATTCATCAACTTTTAATAATATTATAATATATTCCCAAATACCAGTATTGTATTTGATTAAATATGCCAAATGACAATTTGTACTTGAAAAATTTTCATATATAGGGTGTTCCAAAAGTCAAGCAAAAATTGGCAGAAAACATACACTTGGGAAATAGCAATTAGGGAAAATTTGCATGACATCATCTTCCATAATTCGACCAATAAAATTTCTTAATAGATAGTCACATACAGAAACATGTTTTCATTTAATAAATAAATATAAAATTTACAAGGTTATCAACGGCAATGTAACTTTTGGAACACTCTGTATATTAATATATAAGAAAGGACCAATAAATCTGTAGCCTGAAACTTATCAACTAAATTCTGATTTGAAATTTTCACTGTATAATGTTTAGTCGATATGTTTCATATTCAGTAGTGAATTAATCTCTCCCCTTGTCAAGGCACCTATTTTGAAATTGAATTGCATAAAATAGATGGTTCTTCTTAATCATTAGACTACAGATCTATTAAAATATGCATAACCTAAAGAAATAATAAAAATATATGATTATCTTTAATACACTTATAATAGTATATTTTAGTAATTATAATAATAATTATAGATATGATAAATAATACTGACCTCTTTTTTATCATCGTATGTTTTATTTGCATAATGAAAATGGACCTTTCCATGTTCATTAATGGCATTGATGTTGGCTTTGTTGTGGATCAGCTGAAAAATATAAAAAGCTATAATAAAAACTCAACATTTTTTTATCTGACATTTACTATTGTATTTTGCTTTCATGGTTAAAAAAAAAAGTAAAATAAAAGCTAAAATCTAAAATTTGACATTTTCATATGTATACATATTTTCCATCAAGTCATACATGAATTTAACAGAAAAAAATTAAAAAGAAACAAAACATAAATAAAAAGCAAATAAAATTAATAAACAATAACTTAAAAAAAATTAATAAATAACAATAATTTGTTTAATTGGAATTTTTCATGTGTTCCATCATTATCAATAATCTCCATCCAACAATTCCCAAACATTGTCTACATCACTTTATATTCTTATAAAATATCCGTTTTTAATCAAGAGCCACTAATCTGCTAAGAAATGGTGAGTTCAGATGTCCACTGTTCTTTTATGTTTGGCTTCTGTCAAACCATGGGAAATCCTTTTCTAAACTTACAGATTCTTTCCAAGTTGTTGCAGAAGAAATCACTGAATGAGGTGAATTCATTTCTTTTAACTAATTCAATCATAATGGCAAAATTTCTAGAGAGTTCTGATAAAAAAAAGTCATTGCTAAACTCAACAAAGCAACATGTTTGTAGTGCATCTTTTAACCTGAAGTTAACTTTGCTAACTCTTTCAAAATATCTTTGGTAATATTTCTGCCTGTTTTTTCAACATTGCTTTTTCTAAATTTAAATCATAAGTTCAGTAAACATGTTCATTTTTAGGAGGATCAAGTTGTAACCAAGTTATTTGTTATTTGTTATTTATATTTTTGTTATAACCAAGTTATTTGAATTATATTGTGATAGAAACCTCACTTAAGACTGCAGTAACACAAACATGTATTATTATTTTGAGATTGGATATTATTAATGGGATGACACATACTTGGATATACTTTAAACATTTAAAGTACCATGTAGCAATATTTCCATATTTAATTAAAATGGGTTATTCTTTTCATTGTCTTAAAATAGATATTTTAAGTGAATCATTTACAAAATAAAATTTAAAAAATAAAGCTTTACAAATTGATCAAAGATAAAACCTTTTGTTCGATGTCAGGTCATCTCTTTGTGGTGCTTTAGTCATTTTTAAAAATTTCTAGAAACTATCCCTTTCCAAATTTTTTTATCTAAAGAATAAACATATTTCTGATATATACCCACAGAAAAATATTACCTGGTTTTGTAAATAAACTAAACAACATTGAATGTACAATTGAATTTAATTGTGAAACAGAAACAAATTATACTTGATTAGCAAAGGTAATTTAACCACTAGAACCAAAATTGTTATTTTCCACTGGAATTTCCTAAGCCATTTTCTTCATAGAGTTTTAAAGTGCTTTTAGTATTGAGCAATTTCAATAGCTACATGTGTGTGTGTGTGTGTGTGTGTGTGTGTGTGTGTGTGTGTAGGATGTATAATATTCAAAACAAAAGTGAAGATATTTGTTTTTGGAAAATTTTATCAGACACATTTAAAACCAAAAGAAAATGTGTTTTTTTGGCTTCTTCAGCTTGATAATTTGTATCAAACTGAATTAAATCAAAAAAATACAGATATTCTCTGGTGGAAAAAAAAAATGTTTCTTTGATAAAAATTTTCCCTTTGTTTCATCATCAAACACATATTATATATATATATATATACACACACACACACACACTTAGTTGTATTGATGTGAGTTTGTGCCCCACCCTGGATGTCATGCCCTTGTGATCATCAAACTACATATATATATATATATATATATATATATATATATATGTGTGTGTAAATAAGAGAAGAAAAAAAGAAAAATCCTTGAGTGTAAATTCGTATTTGTGAAAGAAAAAGGTGATACATGCAAACACAGAGAGAAATGTTTGTTAACTCAATAATATGAAAATACAACAATTGCCCTCTTAGATATTTATTTACAAATCACAGCCATGTCCAAATTTGAAAATTATTATGTGACAGATAATCATTGTTAATAATCTTTATATACTGATACTTCTCCGGTAAATTTTAAAATTTCCCTTCGGTCTCACGTTGACTGCTGACCTGAGATGGAATAAATACATTGAGTCAATTGCTTTCTATCCACAAAAAATTTTCAAAGTTGGCTCCCTGTGCCGCATATAGGAAATTTTTTTCCCATATTCTCGATCATCCAGATCTACAAATCAACAATTCGCCCTTGCATGGAGTATTGTTGCCATATATGGTCTGGTGCCCCTTCTGTTTGCCTCGGGGTTCTTGATATGCTCCAGAGGCAGATATGCAATATAATTGGCCCTGTTCTGGCATCTCATCTACAGTTGCTCTCTCACAGACGTGTTGTCGCCTCTGTCTTTTTTACAAATACTTTCATGGTAATTGCTCCGAGCAGCTGCATTCACTGGTTCCCAGACTTCATGAATTCAAGCGCCCTATGTGGCTGGCATCCCACTCTCATCTTTTCACTGTCAAAACTCCTAAATGTAGCCGTCTCTTCTACTCCAATAGCTTCATGTCTCGCACCTCTCGCCTGTGGAACTCCCTTCCCTATTCCAGTTTCCCTGAGAGCTATAATCTCCAGCTATTCAAGTGTAATGTCAATTGACATCTCCAGTTGCCTTGATCTATCCACTACCCTTCTCCTCATCCTTTCTTCTATCACTCCTATCTGATCTTGCTCTAAATTTTCTGTAACCCCTTGCGTCCTAGTGGCTTCCCGCCTTGCTTGGGGTGAGGTGTTTAAAAAAAAGTGTGGAAACTCAAATTAGAAGCATTTTTAATGTATTAAATTTTCAGTATTTGATAATTTTGAAAGTGATAAAAATAAAAATAAAAAATGTAATTGCTTATTTTCACTGAGCAATAAATGAGTAAATTACAAGGAGATAAACATTTACTTTTCTGTAAAATTCATTATCAAATGAATGTATGTTGCCAATATGAAATGAAATACTTAGAAAAGAATACAAAAGACAAATATTTTGTTCAAATATTCACACAACCATATTGTAAGTATAATTTTTGGTTATCAACCATTTCATTAGTGACTTTTGATGCTTTTAATCTTGCAATTTCTAACAGTAATCATCAAACATTTCACATGAGTAGGACACAGAAAAGTTGTTCCTCAACTTAAATTCTCAAGTGTCTAAATTGTGAAACAAGTGTTTTATTAAATAAGATGGCATGTCCATATAGGTTAAGCTAAATTGTTTCTATAATAATTATATACTTAAATCTTGATATTATCATATGATAATTATATACTTATACTTGCTCATGACCACTTAAACAATGATGGAGTATTGTCAATGATATTAACAATCATAATGATTATATATATATATATATATATATATATATATATATATATACACACACACACAAAATGATATACCAACATTAACAACCATAAAAATATATGCAATTTCTGTATTTTTATGGCATCCAATCCAAACTGTCTGCTATGAATTTATGTATAAAGTTAGAACAAAAAAATGTTTAAGTTTTTGTAGAATGAAAACTAAAATGCTTTGTCTTGCTGTCCTATTTTTTGACAATGTTTCACAATTAAATTGTTTGAATCAATAAATACGTGATTAATTATATATAATTTCAATGGGAATAATTAGTTATCAGGAGTATTTTAACCTTGACCATACGCATAATCAACATAAACTATTCATTGTTAACTTCTATATATATATATATATATATATATATATATATATATATATAAGTGAACATAGAAGTTAAATCTTAGAGGCGACAGTCTGTTTCATGCTATATGCAATCGTCAGGCACATATATATATATATATATATATATGTATGTGTGTGTGTGTGTGTGTGTGTGTGTGTGTGTGTGTGTGTGTGTTTTTCCCATTTTTACTAACATTTGTCTATTTTCAATTATGTAGCATTAAATTTTTGTTTTATATTACTATGATATTAGCATGTAGATATATAAAGAAAAAATATTTAAATACATATAAATCGATATTTCTTTCTAAAATCAGAACATCTGCTTAGGATCAAAGTTTCACTCTTTGCATTTCTGCTGAAAATTGTCCCTTTACTCTGCTGTTCCCATCTTCAATGATTAAGTGCTGACATGGCCAAACAGGAAGTAAGCTTGTTTCAGAGGAATCCAAACTATAAAAGCATTTCCATCATTACAAAAAAGCTGATAGGGTTGGAGTATTGGTGCCTGAATAGCACTGCTTGTGTCGTGCACAACATCAATTGCTCTCTTCTTTCAATTGCAACATATGAACATTCAACAGTTCAATTTAGAATGTCCATACAAATGATTTTATCATCATAGTGAAGTTTTGTGCAGAACCAGTCATACTTTTTCAAAGAACAGATAAATAGTACACAGTATGCCATAAAATCTTTATATTTTATTATCATGGAGTTAAACTCTCCAGAATAATGTCAAAACATAAGGATAACTTTTAAATGCCATGTCCCTTCAGGATGTAGGTGATCATGTCTCTCTTCAGAACTCTTTTCTTTATTATCTGTGAATTACTATAACTTCTTTGAAAAGATGGAATAGTTTCCAGTTACCTTCTAAAAGGTAATACAGGTACTTAAACAACCTGAAAGACATGTTCAAATATAGTTTACCTTTCTCCAAGACTGGTGGCCACCTCAAAGCAAGTAAGCTCAGTCTGCTTTGCTAAATAGCAAGGCAGACTACCATAGATTAGAAGAAGATGGATTCATGCCTTTCCCAAGAACATTAGCATAAAATAAATGCAACAGAATTAAGCTGAATTTGAACTTGGCTTACTGGTTCTGCTATCTGTACTGACAACCATTATGCTACCCAGTTTTTCTTTTTTAATTTGTCCTTGATTGAGCTGAGCACTTTCAGCATCACCACCATACTTTCTTATTAAAAAAAAAAAAAAAAAAAAAAAAAGATCCATCATTCATAGTCAATAGAAAAGCTATAGTGACTTTCAACAGTAAAATTATTGACAAGAATAAATATTCTATCAATAGTGATTTTTCAACTTCCCATCATAAAGTGGTTATTTTTCAAGTTTATAAAAAAGTAGAGTTTAAATAAAATTTATCACAATGGGAATTTCAATTTTTTTGGCATTGCATTAAATTATAAAAAAGGTACTTTCCAAAAATAAAACCATGATAATTATTAAATACTTACACGTTTGGAGATTTCTTTTTGTCCATGACTGCAGGCCAGATGCAAGGCAGTATCATCTCCCATATTTGTAGCATTAATTCTTACTCCTCTAGCAATCAACATGTCTACAATGTTGAGTCGTCCTTCTTTGGCTGCCCAATGGAGAAGACTAAAACGATGATCATCCCTGAATAAATTAAAAAAAAAAAAAAAAAATAATAATTTAAGAAAATTTTTTAAAATTCCAAATGTACAAAAATTTAAGAAAAATAATTTGAATCTTTTTCAAATGAAAAATTTAAATACAGAAAAATCTTACTTTAAGAATACAAGTGTATATGTGTGTAACAGGCAAATATATAGATGAATAATCACCAAGCAGATCCTGAATGAACAATGAACAGGTGCTCTTTCAAAGAAGTTCCTTGTTTTGAATGCTTAATGGAACAAGCTCATTCCAGGTCTCAACTGAAACTCATTCTCTTCTCTCTTGTAACAAACCTTTTACTTTATTATTAATTTTATATATATATATATATATATATATATATATAATATCCATTGCTAGAGATGCTGGAGAAATGGTCAGTCTCTTGTTTGCGCCGCTCCAGTAAATACCAGACTCCTCTACTATACTCTACCTTTACAAAAGCCAAATCATGCTAAAAATGGAGTACCACTGCCATATCTGGGCTGGGGCTACACAGTCTTCACTTTTCAGTCTTGATATAATTCAAAAATGTTTATGTGACCTGGTGGGTGATTTTGCACCTTTTCTCATAGACAAAATGTCAGAAATCTCTCACTACTATATCACTATTTTCTTGGCCAATATTCTGATGATCTACATTCCTTAGTTCCACTAATTCTAACCTTCATAACTAAACCTACCAAGCTATGTACACCAGGTCAAACCATCCTCATTCCTTTCATATTCCATTAGTAAAGAGGTAGTTCTATTTGAATAGCTTCTTCACACAAACCACTAGTTTGTGGAAACAACTCCCGAGAAGATGTTTTCATGACCACTACAATCCCATCTTAATCTCTTCTTAATGCACTTCTTACTGCTTACTATGACAATTCATATAGCCTCTTTCAGTAAACCTCTACCTTGTATGGCTCTTGGGACTTGTATAGTGTGAACACTATTTTTTTTTAAATGTTTAAATTACTACTCATTCAGTGTCATGTCTTGAAGAAAAATGGCCAATCATGGTTCTCCACAATTTCCTTTTTCATTAATATCCATAAACAATGCATTGCAATGACTGTTCTTGAAAAAGATGGAATGGTTTTCCCTATTACATTCTCAATTTTTAAATTCATAATTGTCCTTCTCTTAGACTAGTCGCCAAGCAAGGCTAGAAAACTTGATCTGCTTTGCTATTTTACCTATATTTGATCATAGGGATGAAGAGTTAGCTTAATTCCTTTCTTTAAGGCATTAGTACAAAGTTACTGCAACATGCTAGGCCAGAATTTGATTATTGGCTTGTTGATTCCATTTTCCATGTCAACAAACATTATACCATCTGTACATCTCTTGCCAAATGAAGCAAATTCAAATCAAATGGAATTCCTTTTAAAATATAATTTAAGTTTTTTTGCAGTAACAAAGACCGAAGCAAGCAATTTAAACCTTAAGTAAATATTCTACAATCTACATTCAGCTTCAGCAATATTGCGACAATGACGGCTGAATAAACGTTACGTTACCCTCCCACATTATGCACTCCACCAAATGAATGAAGCAAGGGATACAGAATTAGATTTCCTTGATGTCCCGGACCACACTACTCAACTTGTACCAGAAGTATTTTGCTAAAAACTAATTTCTTTTTTACCTGTCAGCTTTATCCACTCAAATGCTTTTGTAGCCGATTTTTTTTTAACACACTATCGCACACACGCGTTTATTTGTGTAAGTGTGAGTGTGCCATGTGGTATTATTGCGTAGGTTGTAAACACGAGGGATGGGTAAGTAATTCCTATGTGCTGTCTGTAAGCAGAGAGATACCAAATATGGCCAAACCAAAAGAGGAAAACCTCAGATAAACACCTTTTTCCGGAATGCTTGATGAAGGGAGGGTGATGTCATGAGCGGGAAAACAGGGTTAGCTAAGATGATATGACGGTAATGAAGTGGTGGAGAGATTCAAAGCGAGAATTGCAGAAGTGAAAACAGAGGGGGGAAATTATCGTTGTAATTCAGCCGGTTTGTCCCGGCTACGCAGGGTTACTTTATAATGGAGTGGTAGTGAAAGTGAGAGTGAGAAAAAATTCTTTCTCTCTCACACACAAGCAAACATTACACACACACGTTGCTGTTTAGGACCCACCCGACGAGAGAAAGAAAAAGATAGGAAATAAAAGATAGTATAATACTGGTAACGTAGATAGATAAGTAGGCTAGATGGTTGCTTAGTTACTTGGCCGACTGAAGTGAGTTGAAAGTGTGGGTTGGGTTGGAATGGTGGACGAAGCCTGTGTGTATGTGGTGGGTATTTTAAAAGAAAGTGGGTACCCAACGATCCGCCCACTCAATAATTATCATCTCTTTTTTCTTCTCTCATTCAGCGTACTAACTGGCACATTCCCGCGCAACAAACACATCACTGGGGAGGGTGCAGGAGTTATGTGATGGCTAGTGTAGAATAACTAGGTTGGGTGGGATGCTTCGGCAAATAACAGTTGGTTTTTTTATTTATTTATTTATTTTTTAAAGTGAAACTGAAGCTAACGACTAGTAGCAGAGAGTTGTTGTTAAGCTGCAAAAAGACGAGGCGGAAAGCATTTTTTTAACATTGGAGTTAAAAATTAACTCAACCTAAAAAATAAAAATGATACTGACAGTTACAGGTTAATAAAACATTTACAGCTCTCATTTACGTATAAATTAAACTTTGAAAGAAAGGAGATGAGCGCACGTACACACACAAACTCATGAGAAAATTAATTATCAAGATACAAAAAAGTCGATTTTGTCATGTAAGTTTGGTAAAAGGCAAGTAATAATAAGTTGATTAACTTTTTAGAAAGAAAGTGAAAATTTAAATAAAAGTACTAAAAAGCAACTAAAAAGTAAAAGCGCTAACGCTGAAAGCCGAAATATGATCAAATAAAAGATGAAAATAGTTGTCCGGGAAGTGGGCAATGGCTCAATTGAATCGAGGTGCAGCGAGATGTGTGCAATGACCCGAATGAACTGAGACGGCACAAGAAATGGCAAAGGCCCAAATGGGTTGGAACGGCGCAAGAATTGGGCAAAGGTCCGAATGGATCGGGGCACTATGAGAAAGGTTTTGAAGGGGAAAACTGAAAACACAATTGATTGAGTAAACTTAAAAACTTAATTAAAGTGACTAAGAAGTGATAATATAGGTGACGTAAAAATTAAAACTTGGCATAAAAAGAAATGATGATTCTTGATAGAAAAAAGTAAAAAAAAAAAAGAAGAAAAAAAAGAAGCCAAATGAAAAGGATTTTTTTATAAGGTACTTAAATAGAGAGAGTAAAGCAAAAGAAGGGACAAGAAGACTGTGCCTCATGTATTTATGAATTGGCCACTTATAAATAGTGAACATGAAAGTAGGTTACGCATAGTCACACAAGTAAGTTGTATATTTATTTAGATACTACTTGTACTAGTCAGCATATATTGGTATATATGTGAAGGCTTTTTGCCAAAGGCTGATGAAATAAAAAAATAAAGATATAATCATAATCTGAATTAATCATAAATATAAACTTTCATAAGTAAAATAAAGAAAATAAAAAGTAAACATGTGTATGTATGTATGTGTGTGTGTATGTGTGTGAAAAAGATGTAGAGAGAGAGATTGGATGGAGTTTACAAATTGGAAAAACATTTCATTTACTACAGGATCTTTTTATAAGCAGACAAGTGATTTCAATTACTGTCAATATTCACTATGAATCATTTAACACCCAGTTTAAACTTTCAGATATCTTTAAGATCATAAATTGTCTATATATTGTTGAGCAAATCATAAGGAATGTAATCTATTAATCAATGGATATTTTTTAAAAAAAATGAAAAAAATCATTTAATATTCTTTTTGAGAATGATATTAGACTGATAAATTTTCAGCAACTTCTCATATAAATTTTAATTTTTCTATACAAATAACAGACTGCACTTAAAACATTTCTAGTTTCATTTTATTTATAATTCATATTTGGCTACTTTACAACAGGAATGTGTCTATATTAGAGGCACATTTCCTCTTAATTTCCTAGCAAATTAGTCTACACTGAAATTTATGAAAAAAGAAAACAAGAAATGAATTCAGATAACTGTACTGCAAAGAATGTAAAGATTCAAGAAAAAATAATTCCAGAGATCTGTCATTTTAAAGTAAGTGAAAAATCTCTCTCCTTGGTGAAATTTTTAGGGTTTAAATAAAGAAATTGGACGCAATCATTTATTTTTAACCTAAACAACTTCTTTAAGTAAACCATGTTATTTTTATTCCACATTCAAAGACATTCTTATGATTACATAGATAGATTCACCTATCATCTGGTTCACACACCTCCCAGTTTTTGCCTTTTTTTAACAGGAGTAGTAGAGGTTTATCCTGTTTCCTGTTTAGGATTGGGTTTCCGGTTCCTTCTAAAGTTTTGCTTCTTAGTGGCATTATTGCCTTGCTTGGAGTGAATTGATAAAAATACATCATATATATATATATATATATATATAAGTGACAAAACAAAAAACATTTTAATATAATTCACTAGATATTACATTATTCAAGTATAGTTAGAAACAAATTTTCTGCATTGGATCCCAAAGCATGTTTTTAGTTTTTGAAAAATCAAAAATTTTCAAATTTCTTAGCAAGCGGTGCTGATTTTTAGCATATTACTAAAAATGGGCCATTACTTTTGTGTTTGTTTCATTAGTTAAACAATCTTTATCCATATAAAGCAGATATCTGGCTAAAAGTTTCCTAACCAGTAGTTGTGACTTTTTCCATGATTTTTTTTCTATCACTTGTCAATGGAAAGTTATGTTGTGTCTATAGTTTCAGTATGAACAATAACTGTCACAAAGTCTACATGTCCTCACAGTCTATTTATTGCTATAATGAAAAGTAGGATATAAATTAATGGTCACTTGGGTACTTTTTTGAAATTCTTCCAATATATTTACATTAAATG